GCAAAATAGTTGGCTAAAGAAATCAGCAATGAGGCTATACCTGAGGAGAGCAGTGTTGCCCAAAATTCAGAGAAGGAAAGAGAAAGTGGAAGGGAAGGTAGAAAAGAAATGAAAGAGAAAGGAATAGACAAAGGGAGAGGGAACGAGGAGAGAGAAAGCCAGGTTGTTCTGCGGAAGCGCTCCTGACATCTGAGATCTGCTTTCTTTCTTCTTTGATGCCAACAGTTGAACTTCCTTTAAGGACGTGATACTGAGAGAAGGTTTTACAAAGTACATTTTATGCAAAACTCCTACACAAAGAAAAAGAGACTCTCACATACTCAGAGGGTCAAACACTCAAAAATTACATACATCCGATTTGCTGGGAGTAAAGGAAAAATGAATAATTCCCAAAAATGACCTGGATATAGAAGTTCTCAAGTCAAACTTTATAGCAGATGGAATGATTTTGTCTGACAGCTCTACACGCTCCTTGCCAGGGTGAAATGATCACCAGTGACAGAAAGGCCATAATCATTTTGGAAAATGAAAACCTGTGAGAGCCAGGGTTTTATTTTTTTAAGTACTTAAATTGAAAGTAGTTTCCTATGCCGAAATGAGACTCTGGATTATGGTGACTCAGACATACACTAGTCCTTTTTCAGCAACACTTATGGACCCTACAATTAATCCAGAAATTCACTTTATTGATAATGTACAATTAGGATGCTAAATAACCTGAGCATGTTACTTCTCTTACTTTAAGTGCTTTACACATCATAATTAAGCAAAGCAAAGTTAAAATCATACACATAATTAAGGAAAACACTGTTCAAACAAATGAAATAAAATTATTCTCAGTACTCGGTTTAATCTCCATGAAAAGGCTATTACATACTGTTAAAGATGGTAGGGCTTCTAAACACAGCCCGTAAGTATTTTGGAGGAGCTTGAAATCAGTGTTTAATGTCTTTGACTTGGAATAAATTCTGTTTTCTTTTTTTCATGTTTATCATAAATAGAAATCTTCTCTTCCAAATAAAATATTCAGCATCAGGACTGCTTTATTTTTAAAACAATACAGAAGAATGGACCTTTATTTAGAATCTACAAAGAACAAAATACATTAAGTTGTTAAGTGATATATATTTTTGACACGTTAGGAGACATTTTATTTTGGAGCATTTAGAAATAATGCATAATACTTATAAGTACTTGCATGTCACAGGCACTTACTGAATATTTTTGAAATTCTTTTGTTAATAAGTAATTAAAGTTATTTCTTGTTAAAGTATTTAAGTTATTTCTGCCAAGAGTCACTCAACTATTTAAGAGATTTCAGGAAAACCTTAAACCTGGGTCCTTTTCTTCACATTTTTCTCCATTAAGCATGCTGAAATTTTATGATAACACTTTTCACTTTCACGGGAAAAATGAACATAAATGGAGCAACTATTGCTTTCATAAATAAGCTAGGCAATTAAAAAATATATATATCAGCTCTTTAAATCTCAAAATAGTCCCGTGAGATACTAGTATCCCTATTCTACATATGAGAGAAATGAATCCACATAAAGGAATTATGTAATGTGCCAAGTTCTTAGCATTAGAAAGTAGCAAAGCCAGTTTTCATTTTTTTTAACCTTTATTTTTTTTTTATCAATATTTTTTATTATGGTTTTGTGGGGTACTGTTAAGGGTTAGGTGTACAATTACATTTCATTCAGGCACCCTGTTGATAAGAGGTGTTTTCCCATCCCCAGACAGATATTTGCTACTGTTAATCCCATCCCCCTCCCCCCCATAGTTTCCCAGTACCGTCAGTCATTTTCTTATAGTATTACATTGGATGTTCAAGGTCCATTATATGAGTGAGAGCATGTGATACTCGGATCTTTGTTTCTGTGAGAGGTCACTCGGTATTATAGACTCTAGTTCCATCCAGGTTGCTGCGAAATTCATGATTTTGTTCTTTTTTATGGCTGTGTAGTATTCCATCGTGTATATGTACCACATTTTTAAAATCCAGTCCTCTTTTGGTAGGCAGCATGGTTGTTTCCAGGTTTTTGCTATTGTGAACAACACTGCAATAAACATACGTGTGCAGGTATCTTTTTTATAGAGTGATTTGAGTTCTTCAGGGTATATTCCCAGTAGGGAAATTGCGGGGTCATATGGGAGGTTGATATTTAGAGTTTTTAGGAATCGCCACACTGCTTTCCACAGAGGTTGCACTAGTTTACACTCCCACCAACAGTGTAGAAGTGTTCTCTTTTCACCACACCCTCTCCAGTAGCTGTTATTTTTTGAATTGTTGATAATTGCCATTCTGACTGGAGTTAGGTTATATCTCAGTGTGGTTTTGATTTTCATCTCCCTGATGATTAGTGAGGTTGAATATTTCTTCATGTGTTTGTTGGCTGCTCGGATGTCCTCTTTTGTGAAGTGTCTGTGCATAACTTTTGCCCGTTTGATAATGGGGTTGTTTGTTTTTTTCTTTTCAGCACGTTTTAGTTCCTTGTAGATCCAGGATATTAAACCTTTGTCAGACCTGGTGTTGGCAAATACTTTTTCCCAGTCTGTAGGCTGTCTCCCTGCTCTCTTGATGGTTTCTTTGGCCTTGCAGAAGTTTGTCAGTTTAATAAGGTCCCATTTGTCTATCTTCTGTCTTATGACCTGTGGGTTTCGGGTTTTGTTCAGGAATGGGATGCCAGTTCCGATTTCCATGAGGATATTTCCTTCATTTTCTAAGGTTCTTATGGTTTGAGGTTTTACATTTAGGCCTCTGATCCATTTGGAGTTAACCTTTGTGCATGGGAATAGATAGGGGTCCTGTTTCAATCTTCTGCATGTGGTCAGCCAGTTTTCCCAGCACCATTTACTGAATAGGTTCTCCTCTCCCCAGTGGTAGGTGGTGGAGGCCTTGTCGAAGATGAGTTGGTTGAGAAATTGAGGTTTTGCTTCTGGAATCTCAATTCTATTCCATTGATCTATATGCCTGTTCCTATACCAATACCAAGCTGTTTTGATGATTGTAGCTTTATAGTAAAGTCTGAAGTCTGGTAATGTAATACCACCTGCTTTGGTTTTTTTTGCTGAGGATTGTTCTGGCAAAGCCAGTTTTCAATTCTAGACCTACCTGGTTCTGAAGTTCATATTCTTTCTGCAATATTATTTTGCCTCCTGGATGCAGACTCCAAGTTTAACCTTATTCTAGTAATTCTAGTTATTAAGGGAAAGCTTTTATAGCATAGAGACCATTATTCCACAGAGAAATATAACCCTGGAAAGGGTTTTAATTCCATTGTCAAATTAGAATTAAATTAGTATTCTAGTGTTTGGTAATTTCTAGTAAATCTAGGAGGAAAAAAAAGAATTTGATTTGGGGGTGTCCTGAAATTTTCAGAAGGATAGATGTAATAACATGTTGAAACATTTGCACTAAACTATCCATTCTGATGCAAAGAAACTTTTAACATAGCTCCTTGGACATTGAGATTTTGATAGATCCTAATAGACAAACTACTACATTTCTTCGTCTTTTTTTAACCCTAAGTTACTGAAATGGTTGATTCCACCCAACCTCTGAGCTTCTTGCCTATTGCCAGTCCTGTCTCAGGACAGGCATCAGAGTTAAGATCTGATGATCATTTAAAGTTGACTTGCTCATGAGTATAAAGATGCCGGGCTCCCAGATCTCTCTCTGTTCCACAACCCCGGTGTGTCTGAAGCCTTCTTGAGTTATCTGCTGGTGTCTACTTAGACCATTTCAGTTCCTTTCTGCTGATGACTATTGAATGCAAAGTCCTGTCATGCCTTCTCTGACTTCAAGATTCCTCGCTACTCCCTGAAGTGGGCAGTTCCAGGAAAGTGAGGCCCATCCTTTTGCTCTGCTTTTCTCCTCAACCCACATCCACCCTCAAGTTCTGTTGAGCAAAGTCTCTCATCTTGTGACACTTTATTGGTAGGTTTGGGAAGGGGGAGATTCAGTGAGCAACTGGAGTTAGACACCGTCTGACTGGCAAACCTCTTTGACCCCAGAGTCCCGTGTGTATGTGACCTGGTACTTCTTTGCATGGCATCAACAGCTCTAAGCAGAATACCTGTTTTTCCCTGTGAATTCATTTGTTTCTTGAATGGCCTTAATTCTTCTGATATCTCCCTTAAACTTAAAGTGAGTTCCTTAAACTTAAAGAGCTGGGGATTGGAGCTTCAGACTATTCTAGAAATCCTGTTACATTTCTAACAATTTCCTCAATATTTGTATTAATAAAAATGTAATACATTTAATATTTAAAAACTAACTTCAAATGATGGCTTTTGAGGGAGGAGATCTAAAATTTCCATAAAGACAGACCAGCTATAATAGACTTATTTTAATTTAATTTAATTTTAAAGATGTGGCGATTAATTCAGGATTAGATATACAAATGATCACTGTACAGGTAAAGTTTGGGCCTCCCTTTGGTCCCCACTTAGCCTAGCTTGAGATCAACTACCCTTATTGACGAAGTGTGCCCCCTGCTCCTCCCCTGGCAGTCTCCCACTACTGCCAATCCCTTTCTTATGATATTATGATCATTGTTCAAATCTACTATAACAAAAATAATTGTTAAACTATAAACTTATAGCTTATCCTAGTAAACTATTGAATTTATTTTGTCATAACTATTAAACTATATGTATCATTTAAAGATATACAGATGTAAAGAGAGTTCAAAATAAAAGTTTGTCAAAATAAAAGAATGGCAGCTAACAGATTGAGCGTGGATTAAAGGGGCCTGTTTTGCATATCACTGAGTATTTTTAAAAGATATTTTTACTCTGGTCAAGCCATATGGAATTCAAATGACCATTTTAAGATGCAGCCTGTGACAAAGTGGCTGCCCCAAAATGCCTGTGCCGAAATGGCTGTGTCCACGTGGCCACGCACGCATGCCCCGCTCTGATCCAGGGGACAGACTTAACGGGTGGGTCCCCTGATCATATTTCTCTTCCGTTCTATGTGTTGTTCTTTCTAGCCTTGATGCATGCCTTGGTGTTCGGAAACGTGACAGCGATCATACAAAGGATGTACTCCCGATGGTCCCTCTATCACACTAGAACCAAGGATCTGAAGGACTTCATCCGTGTCCATCACCTGCCCCAGCAACTCAAACAGAGGATGCTCGAATATTTTCAAACAACCTGGTCGGTCAACAATGGAATCGATTCGAATGAGGTAACGTTAATTTCTCATGTCGACATTTTCAGGCAGAAACCATATATACTTTAAGGTAAACGCAAGATACTCTAGTGTAGGTATCAGAGGTGAAAAACATACCAGATTCTTGACCTCTGTCTCTTAGTCACTCATGAATCCATCTCTGTTCAGCTGCTTTGGCTTGTTTTTTCCCAATGTCACTGCGGCTTGACCAATATTTTGTACTAACTTGCTACTATGGTCAACCGGGGGACCTTATTTCCATTCTCATTGTCCCTTTTTGAAGGAACCAATTCTTATGACAATCTAATGGTGTCATCTTGGATAATTATATTAATCGAGCTAATATTTGCCTTTAAAGTCAATAGAGTAAAAAATAATTTCCATCAAAGTTGCTGTCTGTGGACTTTCAGAAACATACCAGACCACCCCTGTAACAAAACAGAAAAGTATCAGCAAATAAACCAACCATTCTATCAACCCACTGACCAAACCAGCAACCAACATGACCGTGACAACAGAGAAGACACCCATGGGTGCAAAGTCTAGACAGACCATGACTAGAAAGACGACTTTGTGAAAAGCAAGTCGCAACTAGTTGTTTGCTTTCACGCCAGAGACTTTTATTAATGTGTTCTATTTCTCCAGACATATTATCGGCTGATTATTCAGTAGCACACAGCTGAGATCACAGTCCCTGAAAAAAATCTCTCCAGGATTATACATACACAGACTCCCTCTTCTGTCCAAACAGTCGGGGACCATAGGAAGAACATCCCTGCTGCCTTGCCGTCTATAAGTGAGACTACACTTAACGCCAATTTGATTTCCTCCTTTATCTTCTCTGACAGCTTTTGAAAGACTTTCCAGACGAACTGCGCTCCGATATCACCATGCACTTGAACAAGGAGATCTTACAGCTGTCCCTCTTTGAATGTGCCAGCCGGGGCTGCCTCAGGTCTCTGTCTCTACACATCAAAACCTCTTTCTGTGCTCCAGGGGAATATCTGCTGCGCCAAGGGGATGCTTTGCAAGCCATCTACTTTGTGTGCTCGGGCTCCATGGAGGTTCTGAAAGACAGCACGGTGCTGGCTATCCTTGGTAGGTCTGGCTTGAAAGAAAACTTCTGGGAAACTTGACCCTGGAGCATAAATGAAGAAGATCAAATGAGGGGAAATCCTGCCGTTGATGGTAGGACAATTACAGAGGACTCTGTGAACTTGGGATTAGTCCTCATGTGGGTTTAGTTTACTTGTGTTACATCAACATATTATTTATTCTTATTTTTAAAAATCCATGCCAGGGGCGGTGGCTCGTGCCTGTAATCCCAGCACTTTGGGAGGCTGAAGCAGGAGGGTCACTTGAGACCAGACTGGGCAACATAGTAGTACCTCGTCTCTACAGAAAATCAAAACATTAGACAGGCATGGTGGCACGTGCCTGTAGTCCCCAGCGGCTCGGGAGGCTGAGGCAAAAGGATCACCTGAGTCCAGGAGGCTGAGGCTGTGGTGAACTGTGATTATGCCACTGCACTCTAACCTGAGCAACAGAGTGAGACCCTAACTCTAAAAAAACCGAAAAAAAAAAACTAGGAATGTAAATATTATCCATATTATATAAATGAATAAATAACCCCTTAAGTAAATTAAATTCCCAAATCACTTAGTAAGAAAATGAATTCGACTTTGGGGGGGGTTGTTTATTTGTTTGTTTGTTTGTTTATCCCTAAAGCCAAATTATGAATCATGGTATATGCTGCCTCCTGGTGAAACAGCTGCTCAGTTGTAAAAGGGCCTTTCTTTTGGGGGAAAATTAATTTGGAGACCACAAAAATCAAGTCTGTGCTAGAAAGAGAGCAGAAGTAGCTGTCTTCACAAATCTGTGAAGCCGAATGAGCTCTCGCGGTAAACTACATAACACTGTCAGGGTGACTCTTGGCCCTTTTTATTTCTTCCAGGAAAATGCATGAGACAGTTTTTGTGAAAATTCTGTGCCACAAAGTTAACTCTAAATATTATGACATAATTGGTTTTCACAGAACTACAAAGGAGAGCTGACCAAAAAAAATGGCATGTCGGGTTAACGTAGAAAAACTCCTATTGGCAATTTCACGTGGACCCTTCATCAAGCACGCTCATTTTTGTTTGTTTGTTCCCCTAACGTTCACTGAGAGTCTATTAATAACTTGGGCACTGGTGTAAATGCTGAGGATGAAGCAGAAAAGAAAATGACCAAATCCTTGCCTTCGTGAAGAGTAAACTGAAGTGAAGATTTCGAGGGGAGCCTAGGCCAGTCAAGTAATGGTGACAGGCGGAAGTCAGGATGCATTTTGAACACCAATAGAATACACTCAGGTTTAGAATTTGTGCTAGTAAAAAGGGGCTGATTCAGTACTTGCTGTTTATGTTTAATTTTTAAAGAACCTTATATTTGTTAACTACTTGGAAAGTATTTTCACACATGAGGACTCATTTAAGCTTTTGCCACAAAGAGAGACAGCTAGTAAAGGTATCTTCTCTGCTTTCCCAAAGTCAAAGCTAACCCAAGTCTTTGGACTCTCTATTCAGTGCTCCTTCCGTGTCCAAACAATATCTATTATTCGATTTTTAAAAGACAGTTGCTCTTCCATGTTTATTGTAGGACTATTCACAATAGCAAAGATACAGAATCAACCTGAGTGCCCATCAATGGGAAGTGGATAAAGAAAATGTGATATTTATCCATTCATATATATATATACGCATACATACATTTATATATATTTATATGTACATGCATATATACACACAATGGAATACTGTTCAGCCATAAAGAAGAATGAAACGTCTTTTCCAGCATCATGGATGGAACTGGAGGGCATTATCTTAAGTGAAACAACTCAAAAAAAAGAAAGTCACCCGGGCTCAGTGGCTCAGCCTGTAATCCCGCACTTTGGGAGGCTGAGGCGAGTGGATTGCCTGAGCCTGCGGATTCGAGACCCGCTGAGGCAACTTGGCGAGACCTCATCTCTACAATAAATCAAAAAATGAGCCGGGCGTGGTAGCACGCGCCTGTAGTTCCAGCTACTCGGAAGGCTGAGGCGGAAGGATCGCCGGAGCCCAGCAGGTTGAGGCTGCGGTGGCCGGGAGCGGCCCCTGCATTCCAGTCTGGGCGACAGAGTGAGACTCCAACTCAAAAAAAAAAGAAAAAAAAGTCAAATCCTGCATGTTCTCACTTATAAGTGGGAGGTCAATAATGTGTCTACATGGACAGAGAGTATGGAATCATAGACATTGGAGACTCAGAAGGGTCGGAGGTGGGTAAGGGATGAGAAATGTCTTTGGGCACAATGTAGGGTTATTTGAGTGATGGTTTCACTAAAGGTCCAGACTTCACCACTAACCATCACATTCATGTAGCGAAACTGAACTTATACCCCTTAAATTTGCACACTTTTTTTAAAAAAGAAAAAACAATGATAACCTATTATTCTATAATCATGTAGGTAGGCCCACTGGATTCTAGCTAATAACCTTCAAGATAGAGTGTATTTTGGAAGACAAAAGAAACTTTACATTGAATCCTTACTATGAACTAGGTGCTTTATATTCATTATCCAGTTTAAATCCTGCAACCTTATTAGTTTGGTGTGTGTTATGGTCTGAAAGTCTGTGTCTTCCCAAAATTCACATGGCAAAGCTCAATCCCCAGTGTGTTGGTGTTAGGAGGTGGGGTCTTTGAGAGGTGATTAGCTCACAGAAAGTCCTCATAGAGGGGAGTAGTTTGTGTCTTTATAAGAGAGACTCCAGAGAGTTGCCCTGCCCTTTCTTCCATGGAAGGACACAGTGAGGTGTCATCTATGAGTCAGAAAGTGGGTCCTCACCACACACCAGCCCTCAGAACTTCAAGAATACATTTGTGTTACTTAGAAGCTACGCGGTTCATAGCATTTGGCTATAGCAGCCTGAACGGACTAAGATGGTTGTGTGATTCCCAACTGCAGGTGAAAAGATGAAGGCAAGTGAATGGTGAAAGACTTGTAGGTTTTTCAGTGCTTCCTGTTGACCTGTTTAAAGAGGAAAAACTGGGCTTGCCTTTGAGAGTTTCTATTCGGTTCTAGACTCACTTTCTTATGTTCTTCTCCTTAACAGAAAGGCATGGAATCGCAACTAAAAGAGTTTATTATCAACTTGGCCAGGTCTTTATCAATGTTAGAGTGAGGCTGTGTGTGTGTGCGTGTGTGTGTATGTGTGTGTGTGTGTGTGTGTGTGTGTGTGTGTGTGTGTTGTGTATGTTTTCCTTAAGAGGAGAGAATTTAACACTCTTCCTGGCCTCTTCTATACTTTGTGAAGTTAAAAGCCAACCATACTACCATTTTGCCATTCTAAATTGGAATTGACAATTATTTGTAATTAGGTTCAAAAACTTAACTTTAATCATTAAATTTCTTCAGCAAGCCTCCTTCATACCACCGCAAATTTGATAGCCTGCCTGATGGCCTAGCCAGCCTTTAAGAGGGCATCTAGACATTTTATCAGATCCTTATGGTTTGACAGTCATACAAACAAAAATAATGCAGCATTTTAAAAGGCGAAAGATTTATGTGATCTGAAGAGAAACCAGAGTATTTAAAAAAAATAAATTGTACCCCACATCTTTAAAATAAAAATAAAATAAATAATTTTATCATTTTAAACAGATAAAATGTAGATTTGTCCAAATTGTGGTGCATTTTAAGATGTGATAACTAGCCACAGTTTTAATAAGGGAATATGACGGCTTCACCCATGACAATAGAGCACAGTGGGTGCAAATTTAGTGGCTTCTACGCAACTGCCATTGCTTGTCAAGCACGATTCAATGGGATTTTCTTATTACTAAAAAAAAGACCTACTTACAGGTAAAAGATATAATTTATCGCCTTTTGCTCCTGGCCCCAAATCTTTCCTTAAGTTGTAATTTTCCTGATTAGCATTTTCACATCTTTGCTTAGATGGTGTGTATACATATATGTGTATGTGTGTGTGTGTGTGTGTGTGTGTGTGTGTATCAAAAGTGCAAATTACACATGGCCATTCTGAGCACTGGTATGTAATATAGGGACTCAGCCCAGATAAAAATAATAAATTATTCATATTTCCTCTTTGTACATGTACATATAATATGATTTCAATGGATTCTGATTATTTCACTTTTCCTGTGGTAATATTGTCTTACACGGCCAATTCAAATCAATTACTGACTTTGGTCAACTTAGCAGGCACAGGGCATCACATTTGATTTGCAGATTTTTATACATGTGCAGATTGCCACTGGAAAAAAGAATGCTGTTGTGAGAAAGAAGTGCCACCAAATAGCTGCCAAATCATAAATTTATTGAAGCAACTTTATTGTCCAATCACAACGTGAAGACATATCTTCCTCTGATGCCAGGGAGGCAGTTGCCATAGAACTGGGCATTTGTTATGGGGCTAGTATTTGTTTGCCTTGTACACCTTCATTTTGTGTCCAGGTAATTGTGTTTTCCCCACCAGGTTCTTCATTGTTGCTTTAAAGGAAAATGGCAAGTCACTGACAAATGCACCCATCGAAGAATATTGGTCTGCCTAATTATAATTAAGCTTAAGTTAGAGCCCTAACCCGTTTGCAAATGTATCCCGTCACCTTTTGCTTTTCAATGAAAGAATCCCTGATTAGCGGGATCTGTAGTACAATTTTGAAAAATAGATGTCATAAGGGATTAAAGAAATCTTTGCCTTCTTTTAGAAATAATAATACTGAGACCCAGAGTTATATAAAACTGACCTCTACCCAGGATTTTAAATCTGGACAGTAAGAAACTCACAAGACTAAAATTAGTGAGGGTGAGAACCATGCTGATATTCACCAGTACCTGCTAGCTAGGGCTCACACAAGGTCCAGCACACATGGTCAGTGCTCCATAAATATTCATTGAATGAATAAATAAACTGGAAATCTTTCTAGAATACCAAGTCTGGCAAGATGTTGGTTCTACTTTTACAGCTTGTGTCATTGTGACTGAAATAGCTATACCATGGCAACCCAATGTCTGAAAGTATAATGACCCTGAAGTTATTGCAGATATTAGTTGCTTAACAGAGAACGTGAATGCTTGTTTACAAAACACTGTATCATGATAAATTCTCCTCAAATGTACAAATTTGAAAATTTACTGTATTTAAGACATTTTGGCTATGCTTACATCCTGCATCGATACCAACTTTTACTTTTGAGCAGCAAGTTAGATTTCTAACAAAATATACAGGAAACAAAATATCAGAGTTAAACAATAGTGGTAAAAACAATAAACCAAACTTGAATTTTCCCATACTCTGGTATACATATAAATATAGATTTTAATCTGATTTTTTTCTTCTACCAAAATAGGCTCAATTTCAAGGTTTAAATCCAGTATCAACTTGAAGGTAATACCTAGATGTAATCCAATAATTTTAAAATCCTCAGTTTGTTTGATCTACTATAAATATTTATGAATAGCTCAGGCATTCATGTTAATTCGACACATTACCTTTTACTGTCAAATTCAATAGAACAGACTTTTATTGAAGTCTGCTAAATACCAGAGACATCGTCTCCACAAATACTGGCACCACAAAAAGTAAAAATTTAGAAGTTAAAAAATTATTGAATGGAAGGTAGGGTCATTTGTTCTAATAACATTCCAAAAGTATGGTTTGCTTGGTGTCTGTTGTTGTACTTTTCAATTGTTGGTTGTTGGTTCCTTATGAAATGAAGTAAAGTGGCCATTTAAAAAACAATAATTGGCAACCCCCTCAGGTCCCCTCCCACTGTTGGAACTTTTTTTCCTCTCAATAAATCTTGCTTTCAAAAAATAATAATAATAAAATTAAAGGCCAGGCATGATACTCTTATGTGCCAAAGTTAAAAAAAAACAAAACCCTGCCCAAGAAAAAAGGTTCTCTTTCCAGTGTGATTTCAGAGAAGTTAAGCCTGTAACTCAATGAAGTTATCAGTTCTAAGCTTGCTTTTTTAAAGGTGATTTCTCTATCTCTCCTTCCCTCCCTCCTTCCTCTTCCTCTCTCTCTCTCTTTCCCCCCCCTTTCCTGTTTCTAGGGAAAGGAGATTTAATTGGAGCAAATCTATCCATCAAGGACCAAGTGATCAAGACCAACGCAGATGTGAAGGCTTTGACCTACTGTGACCTCCAGTGCATCATTCTCAAAGGACTTTTTGAAGTGCTAGACCTCTACCCAGAATATGCTCACAAGTTCGTGGAAGACATTCAGCATGACCTCACATACAACCTTCGAGAAGGTCATGAGAGTGATGTAAGTCTCTTTTCTAATTAGCGCTGAGACCTAATACCATTGGGCCTGGAGGTCATTTTTAGCAGTAAATGCAGATGTCATGACCTCACCTTAAAATGTCTCGGAACATAGGAGTGATTATTCAGCCACTAGTTGAACAATTAAAGAATTAGCTAGAAGCTAAACTAGGGTTTGTTACTAACATTCCAAGAAAACATCATTCATGGATGACTTCTGTTAACTCAGTTTCTTGTTTGTTTTTCTGTGCTCATAACTAGAATCAATTTCCATGATATATAACATTTAACTTGAAATGTGTGATTTCTGCAGAATTTAAAAATTTCCAGATAAAGTATACAGTTCAGAGTTTGCCGTGTTTGTAATTGTTCACTTCTCCAATTGCTTGACATGAATTTTGCTTTAAAATAATCTTTTTGTTTAATAGTACCCCAAACAGACTATCTTAAAATGACTAAATCTGCATAAAAATATTCAAGCCAAGGATTGTCACACTGAAAGCATAATAAGTGTTTTATGCAATTATATATTTGCTGCAAGTTTCAGTTTATACAAACAGCTCTCCTGTCAAAATATGTACTATTCTTCATTTGGTGGTTAGGTTGATCGTGAACATGACTTCGTTAGATGTGTCAGGGAAACAAGTGATTTAATAGCATTGATTGTTGGAAGGCAAGCCAGGGCATGCATAACACTGTGTCACAATCAAAGCCTTAATATGCCATCATGAGCTTTGTCCTAGATAATTGCAACCCTCATTTTTTTCCCCTAGGGATTTAAGAAGCAGTGCTTTTTACTAATCCATATTGTGTGGACATTTACAATAGTTATTAATATTCTTTGCTTCTTTTTTTATTTTTCATTTTTGAGTTGAAGTCTCACTCTCTCGCCCAGGCTGGAGAATAGAGGTAAAATCATGGCTCACCACAGCTTCAACCTCCTAGGCTCAGGGGATTCTCTCGCCTCAGTCTCCTGAGTAACTGGGACTACAGGCTTGTGCCACTACACCCAGTTAATTTTTTTTTTTTTTTGGTAGAGACAAATTCTCTCCATATTGTCTAGGTTGATCTCAAACTCGTGGGCTCAAGCTATCCTTCCATGTCGACCTCCCAAAGTGCTGGGATTACAGGTGTGAGCCATTGCACCAACATATTCTCTGTTTTGAAAGGTAGAAAGAACATTTAAATTGTGTATTGTTTTATCTTGGTTATCAAAGAATGGTAAATGCACGGATGATATCCCATTCTAAAATTCATGATGAGCAGTTTTGCGTGTGGGCTTCTCTCCATGGCTAACAGCAAATGACAGAGGAGTTACCAACTTGTACTGGCTGCCTTTGACGTGCTAAGTACTCTGCCTACATAAAACATCTCATTCATTGCTTCAAACACATCCTGAAGGTAAGCACTGGTCTATTCTTATGGAAGAGAAAACTGAGATTCAGAACGGTTAAATCACATGTGCATGTTCACACAGACTTGTCGGTGACTGGGACGGAGGCCGAACATAGATGCCAGATTTTAAAATCTATATTCTTTCCATTAACTATGTTGCCTCCTCTTCTTGAAATCACTTTAATGTCTTTGATTCAGCAAATTGAATTTTTAAACTACAGGTGTCTTTTGTGCTATCCATGACAGTATAAAACGATAACTATTTTTGAAGACTGAAGGTGAGAGGGTGGAAGAAATCAAAAAGGGAAGAATTGAAGAAAGAGGGGAAACTAGCTAATATCCCCTAGCATGAAAAAATGGAAAATATTGGGTCTCAGCATGTATTTTCTTCTCATTTGAATTATTTTAAACATTCTTATCTTTTTAAAATTTTTTCGATGATTTGAAATATATATATGTTTTAGAATGGTTAATTCAAGCCAATTAACATATGCATTTCCTCGCTTTCCTATCATTTGTCTGTGGCGAGAACACTTAAAATCTACACTCTTCGCAACTTTCAAGTGTATAATACGCCCTTATTAACTATAGTCACCACGTTGTACAATAGATCTCTTGAACGTATTCTTCCTAATTGAAACTTTGGATTCTTTGAACCAACATCTTTCCAATCTCACCTTTTCTCCCACCCTTGGCCCCTGGTAACCATCATTCTACTCTCGGTTTCTATGGGTTCATCATTTTTCAGCTTCCCCGTCAAAATGACATCAGGTAGTATTTGTCTTGCTGGGCTTGGCTCATTTTACTAAACAAAATGTCTTCTAGTTTCATCCATACTGCAGCAAAGGACAGGATTTTCTTCATTGTTAAGGCTGAATAGTATTCCATGAAGCATATATACCATACTTTCTTTATCTATTCACCTTCTGATGGCCATTTAGGTTAATTCTATATGTTGGCTATCTTGCATGATGCTACAATGAGCATGGGAGTGCAGACGTCTCATCAAGATACTGATTCCATTCCCTTGGCTATATGTCCAGAAGGAATTGCCAGATCATATGTAGCTCTATGTTTAATTCTTTGAGGGACTTCCACACAGTTTTCCATAATGGCTACGCTAATTTACATCTCCACCAATAGTGTGCGAGGGTTTTCTTTTCTCCACATCCTTGTCAACACTTGTTATCTTTGTTTTTAATTTTTAATAATAGCCATGTTAACAGGTGTGGTTCTAATTTGCATTTTCCTAATGATGAGTGATATTGAGCATCTCTTCATATACTGTACCTGTTGGCCTTTAGTGTGTATTTTTTTTAGCAAATCTATTCAGGTTTCTGTCTATTTTTTAATCAGATTATTTATTTTCTTGCTACTGAGTTGTTTGAATTCATTGTGTATTTTTGATATCAACCTCTTATCAGATGTATGACTTGCGAATATTTTTCTCTCATTCTATATATTGTCGCTTCACTCTGTAGACTGTTTCCTTTGCTGTACAGAGCTTTATAATTTTATATCATTCAATTTGTCTATTTTGGCTTTTGTCGCCTGTGATTTGGAGTCACACTCAAAAAAATCATGGTTCAGGCCAATGTCATGGAGCTTTCTTCCCCTAGGTTTTCTTCTAGAATTTTACAGCTTCAGGTCTTACAATTAAGTCTTTTATCCATTTTTAATTGAGTTTTGCATTTGGTGTAACATAAGAATCTAATTTCATTCCTCTGCATGTGGATAAGGAATTTTATCCTTTGATAAATGTTTATGCTTTTTTCCTGTTTGCTGGAATATTGATCAGTAATTAAAAATTTTCTGTAGAATATCTTCAATAACTGAATTATCTGTGGAATTATTTCCATTGCCTAATTATTCTTTCTCCATCATTTGGTTCTTTTTTTTTTTGAAGCGTGCTGCAATTTTGTCTAAATAATAGATGTTACTTATGAAAAATTATTCATGTCACTTTCCTCTAAATAAGATAAGGTTTTCTTTTGGACAGGCAGATAGAGTATCAGCAGATCACCTTTACCCTGGCCATCGTTTATTTTTGGCTTTGTTAGACTGGTCTGTTTCAGTTTTGCTCTTAGCCCTAAGGTGTATCCTTTCCTCCTAAGACAGTTTTTTCTGGAGTCTTAGCTAAAACCATAGTGTGCTTACCAAGGACTCTCCTATTGTTCGAGGCTTGAACTCTAGCCTCCAGCTTCTCATCGCTACTAGTGAAATCTCTGTTCTGCAATTCAGCCTTCCAGCTGTTGTTTTCTTCAAAGTATCTTGGAATACTATCTCTTGCATGCCCGAGTTAGGAGTTGGCTAATGCCCACGGGGAACCTTGATGCAGTGGCCTTCTCTCTGGTGTTACGCTTCTCAAACCCCTCATACTTTGGTCCACCTGAACTTCATCCTGTCTTCTTAGCCAATGAGACCACGCGGTGCTAGTCTATTCCATTCTACCTCATGGTGAAATAGCAAATGCCCTCAGAAAAATACCTGGCCCAATGAGGTGCTCACCCCGGTGCACTTCCATTTTCTGGGGGATCGTGGCCCTTCAAGCCTCACCTGAGTCCATTGCTCTCAAAGGCCTTGAAGCTGTTGTTTTTCCAGCTTGATCGTTACTTTTGACTGGAGAGTTGGTTCACCACAAGCTACTTCATTATGGCCGGCGTCAAAAGTATTGCTTCTTTTCAAAGAAGGCTTATGAGCTACATTTTAAGAGCAAAAGGGAACAGAAGCCTACCTTTGAGACTTTTTTGTTTTATATTTTGATAAGCTGATCTTTTATCACTCCAAACTTACATTTATCCAAGATCCTGGGGCGCTATGTCTTCTAAGAGCTAGAGAAGTTTGGACCTCTCTTCCCATTATTCTTAGGGGAAAATTCTTGTGCCCTCCCCAAACATACTGTGGCTTTTTTTTTCCTTCCTTTATTTTAAAGATGTGGGGTACTGTTCAGAGTTAGGTATACTAATAGTCATTATGCAGGTACCCTTGCTGATGAGGTGTGCCTCCCCACCCCACCCCCAGCAAATTCCCACTACTGCCAATCCTGTCCCTGCCCTCCCCTGGCAGTTTCCCACTATTGCCAATCCTTTTCTCATGGTATTATGATAATTGTTCAAGGTCCACTTATAAGTGAGAACATGTGATACTCAGTTCTTTGTTTCTGTGATAGGTCACTCAGTATTATAGACTCTAAGTCCATCCAGGTTGCTGTGACTTTTAGGGGAACTTATGCTCTGATGATGACTGCATGGATTCCTGCTCTGCTGTGCAGCCCTGCTCTGGTGTCAAATCCAAGGTAGAATCAAGTCCCTTTTCTTCATTTCCATGAACACAAACACAAATATCCAGTCACACAGGGTTTTCTGGTGGGTGGAATCCTCCATGGAAAGTAGCATGATGGCTTGTGGAAGGAGGAGCATTTGCATAATGGAGATGCACCCAACAGAAATGTAACTTATCTACACATCCTAATTCTTAACAATCATGTGGCCACTCTACCACATTGTTCAGCCATTTATTTGTTGCTCTGTCCTCTCTCTTCTCCACTCTTCTGTGCTCCCATTTCACCCCACATTTTCTATTATTTCTGGTACATGTTAGCTTAACTTT